TTCAATATTCCTTAAAAAATATCAAATTTTAGCTATTTTGAAATTGTATTTCTATATGAACTCTATTTTTTTTCTTTTTCTCCGATTAATATGAGAATTTCTAAGCCGTGAGAGCAAACGTGGAGGCTTTTTTTTTCTATTACTTTAATAAGTTAATATATTTGATTGCAACCACATTGAAAAGAAGGATTTGATTCTTGTCTGTCACACCTTGTTATAGGTTTCTACCAAGTGTGATGTGCTTCCTAGCTAGCGTAGTGGCAAGGGCATGTTGTTTCAACCCTAAAGACTCATGTTCAACTCGCTCACACTTTCTTCTTAACTACTTGGCGCCATGCTTCTCTTAGTTGCCCAACGTTTTATTTGGATATCATGTGACGCTAGATATACAAGCTACTCCATATAAAACACTTATAGCTGCATATTTACTTGCAATACATACTTCTTCCGAATATGGTTTACAAGTAAACGCTTATAATTCACTACTACAAAAGTGATTTTTCTGTACGAGACCTCATAATTTTTGCAAACGGACCATAACTAGTGGCGCCTGCAAAAATCGCGCGGCATTTTCACAAACGGCTCCTTAAGAAGCCCGTATAGAAAAATCGATTTTCCCATACGGGTCTCTTAAGATGTCCGCATGCAAAAATGATGTCATTTTTGCATGCGGCTCACTTAAGCGCCCGCATGGAAAAATCGATTTTTCCATGCGGCTCACTTAAGCGCCCGCATGCGAAAATAAAATTTGAAAAATTTGAAAATTTGAAACTAGTGTATCTCACTCATACGAACTCCAAATTGGATGATTTTTTTTCCTAAATGTTTCTAAAATCATGCTCTATCATGTTATTGTGTTCTTACTGTTATTATTTAGGCCATTTTTTCTTGTGACTTTATTTTATCAATTTAAAATTTAAATTTCAAATCTTCAAATAATATTATGAAGCAATAAACGATTTCAGCTGAAAAAGTCAACAACAACAAAGTTGTATAACTCATCAAGATCTATAATTTCTATTTTGGTCATTTCTTCATTTGACAAAGTGATACTAACATTTTCACAAAATTTACATCTCTCTCTTATAGTTTATAAAACTATATAATAGATATGTACATTCTGTGAATAATCTTACAAATCACTTTGTCGGATGAATAAATGACCAAAATAAAAGTTATAGATATTAATGAGTTACACCAATTTGTTATTGACGACTTTTTCAGTTGAAATCATTTAGTATCTGAAAATATTGTTTAAAGTTGTTATAATTTGAAATTCAAATTCAGACTGTTCAAACAAAGTCATATAGAAAAATGACCAATACAAAAGTTGTAGATCTTGATAAGTTATACAACTTTGTTTTTGATAACTTTTCCATTTGAAATCATTTACTACCTAAAAAACTATTTGAATTTCTTATATTTTAAAATTTAAATTTTATATAGTTCAATCAAACTCGGATGGAGAAATGACCAAAAGAAAATTGGTAGATCTCAACGACTTCTACAACTTTATTTTTGGCAACTTTTTCATATGAGTTTATTTATGACCATAAAATTTGATTCGAAGTTCTCACATTTTTAATTAATTTTTTAATGATTATTTTTACATGCGGACCACTTAAGGAGCCGCATGCAAAAATAGATTTTTGCATGCGGCTCCTTAAGTGGTCCACATGCAAAAATATCAACAGTTTTTTCAGTTTTTTCCCTCCTCACCACTTCAAAAATTTTCATCTCCCCTCCTCTCCTCTCTCTCTCTCCTCTCTCTGATATCCTCACCCCTCTCTTTTTCTTTCTCTTCCTCTCTCACTCTCTTTCTCTTCCTCTCTCTCTTTCTCTCCTTTGCGCGTGGCCAACGAGGGGGCGCCGAGCAGCGGGCGGTAGGCGGCGTCGAGCAGCGGGCGGCGGGCGGCGGCGGCTCGGCTTCCTCGGCTCGGCGGCCGACAACGACGATGGCCGCGGTGGGAGCGGCGACGGCGGGCGGCGGGAGCGGCTACGGCGGCGGCGGCGGCTCGGCGGCCGACAATGACGACGGCCGCGGCGGGGGTGACGGATCTGATGCCGCCGCCGACGGATCCGGCACCGGTGACGATGATGGGTGGCGGGGGCGATGGATCCACCGCCGACGACGGCCGCGGTGGGAGCAACGACGGCGGGCGGCGGGAGCGGCTACGGCGGCGGCGGGCTCGCAGCGGGGTCGCGGCGGCGGCTTGGCAACCTCGGCTCGGCGGCCGACAACGACGACGGCCGCGGCAGGGGCGACGGATCCGATGCCGCCGCCGACGGATCCGGCATCGGTGACGACGATGGGTGGCGGGGGCGATGGATCCGCCGCCGGCGATGACGCTGGGCGACGGGGGTGACGGATCCGCCGCCGACGACGACGCCGAGCGGTGGGGGTGACGGATCCGGTGCCGCTGCCGACGGATCCGGCGCCGGCGACGGCGGGGGGTGGCGGGAGCGATGGATCCGCCGCCGGCGACGGCGTGCGGCATGGATGTGGCGCTCCGGTGGCGGGCTAGGGTTTGGTTTGGGGTTTTTTCGATTTTATTTTTTTTGTTTGCTCAATTTATTTTCGCATGCGGCCGGTATAAGCAACCGCATGCGAAAATAAGATTTTCGCATGCGGTTGCGCCGGCCGCATGCAAAAAGGATGATTTTTACAGACGATTTCGTCCATGCGGTTGGCACAACCGCATGGAAAGATGGTTCTCAGCCGTATGGAAAAACCATATCTGTAGTAGTGATTAATTGGAAGTGCATCTAGGACCCTATTGTAGGTTATTAGCTTCTGCATTTAATTTTAAATTAGTCTATTCACCCGGTCAAACCCCCCCCCCCCCTAGGCCTAAGTGATCCTTTCATTAATAATCAGGGAAACACCATTAGTTTGGTGTTGAAATTATGTATGTAACTCTAACTACCAGGATTCAAATCCTAGTGTTCATAAATATAGTTGCATGCATCTTAGTTGGTGCAGGGACCAAAAGTTACACTTTATTTGTAAAAGAAATCTAGTAATAATGCCTATAAAATACATGGAATGGCTTGTTAAATATGCTTTTTAGTCTTTTGTGATATAGGTCGGATAACTGTTTTTTTTTCCAAACATAGTTACATTTTATCGACTTTGAAATCATCAATTAGTCACGAAGCTATGTGTTGCACGGGCTTATATTATTTTTTAGCATAAATATTAAAAGTTTAATCATGTAATAAATATGTTGTTGGCTGTTTTTCTTTTTTTGAAATGCAGTAAGTTAGATAAAAAAAGGTCCACATATGTTACATCTTGCTAACTGTTATATATTTTTGAAATTAAATTAACAAAACCCTAAATTATGAGGCCTTAAAAGTCCATGATATAAAAATTGCATATATATATATATATATATATATATATATATATATATATATATATATATATATATATATATATATATATATATATATACACTTCATATAACTAATTCTTAAAATGATATAGTGCTCTACGACAAAGACGATCTATTTAATCAACATCATATTTTTATGATTCCTCGGCGTGCATAATTAGTTGGTATAGTACACCGTTAGTTAACCCAGAAAATAAATATGTTTTCGATGTAAATGTGAACATGTACCTTTTAATTATGACCAACAGAGATCATAGCTCATTCTAGCACCATCCCTTTTAGGTAGTATATAGAAGTAGATATATAGATACTGGTATTGGTCCATTTGCACTAATCATGCGTACCACCATATGCATTGAAACTAATTGATGATGAATGTCTTTTCTCAACCTCATGGTACATGGAGGAATTGGCGCCATTATCCTCGCTCTACGACAGTCAAATCACCGACAAAATCTCAATTTAAACTCGCGCGTGCCGATTTACTCATTTTTAATTTAAAAAAATTGAGAGTGAAAGTGCGAATATATGTATAGTAATAATTACTTGGCTAGATTAACATGTGCACTATGTGTAATCACAAGTTCACAAAAAAAAAACATGTGACGCAAATGCTGCTTACCCTAAATAGAAAACCAATGCAATTTTTTTTCATACAATAAGTATATATGACGCGGTTATACAAATTGAAGGAAAATGGTTTTGACTGTGAACAGCTTGCACACGTACAAGACCCCTTAAGAAGTTAAGAAAAGCTTATATGTTAATGTGTACAGTTAGTATAATCATCAATTGAAGCTGCAAACTTAATTGTAGGAAGTATTTGCATAATCTCTCTTCTGGAACCATCCAATCTATAGTTTCTAGTACCCTATATGTAAATGTGAGAAAAAAACTCTGTAAAGTTTTACCTTGGACATATACCCTCTCCCTGCCTCTCGGGTGCACCAGGACATCGTGACGGTGTACATTATACTATCAGTTATTGCATGTATGGATGTGGTGGATATATATGTTATGGCTTTAATAGATGAGAGCATAGCATTATGATACAAAATCTGCATCACCAATTAATTAAGTAAAAATGTAGTACTAGCTAGATTCAGAGAAGTTCTATCGTGCTTAGTTTGGAGGTATCGGCTAGCTATATCCATTTTTATGAAATACACATCAAAGGTTAGGATGTTTTACACACACACACACACATGCTTGAAATTAAGGGTTTTAGAGGTAAACTTCACTTTAAAATTAAACGTTGTCGGTTGATATATGTTTTAGGCCCTATTTGAAACATATTTTGCGTGCATTATTTAGACAGACTGCTTACTTAGTTAACTTGATAAATTATATTTTTAGAAATAAACTTTACAATATCTTAAAATAACTGGTCTAAACAATGCAGCAGAAGAATTTTATTTTTAAAAAAATATTTTAAGAAGCATGGAGGAAATAATCCGTGACAAAAAAAAATCTGGAAAAAAAAGCTGAAAAGTACACGGCTTTAAGCACTGTAAAACATATCGTATTATTAGAGTTGTTAAACTACAGTAATACACTTCTAGCTACTCTTTGCACGCTCCAAGGATAATATGATCGAGTACATGAAGATCAGTAGATCACCCACATCACAATGCTAAAAATAGTTCTAGGGATCTCTTAATTAAGAAAAGTTTTATGCCAGGCCAGATGAACAAAGAGTGTGGCCTTGTATTGATTGCTGAGAGATGCCATGCAGATATACAGCACCAAGATTCACACACACAAAGCAGTACTAGTATAAAATCAATGGGAGAGAAAACTAAAATTAAAGAAATGGAAAACGGTTGTACTTGGGGAACATGTGATCCATAATCTAGCTAGCTAGCTGCATGGTATTATGATCAGCTTTGAGATAGTGTGGACTGTGGTGTGGTGTACGTTGTTTTTACTGTTTTTTTTTTTCGTTTCGTTTTGCACATCTCATCATGTGTGGATGCTTGCTTAGATAGACCTGTTCTCTAGGATCGCCGAGAGGCTCGTGGTGCGCTGCCGCTTGAGCCCACCGCCGGCGCCCGACCCCCCGGACTCCTCGGTGGCCGATGCCGTCCGCTCCATGACGGCGCGCAGCGCGTCCTGGATGGACGCGACCGTGTGCTGCGGCGACATGGGCGCCTGCATCGCCTCCTCCTGCTGCTCGCCGTCCCCGTCCGTCCCCGCGCAGGCGGCGGCGGCGGCGCTGTCGTCCCCGGTGACGACGAGCACGTTCTTGACGCGGCCGCCGAGTGTGGTGATCTCGGCCTTGAGCGCGCGCAGCCGGAGCGCCTTGAGCGCGCGGATGAGGTCCGGCAGGAGGTCGGTGCGGTCGTCGCAGCAGAGCGACGCGCGCACGACGAGGCGCCCGTCCTCGTCGCTCGACGCGTCGACGGTGAGCTCGTCCGACTCGGTGGGGAGCGGGCACGCCTCCTCCGTGATCTCCGACGTCTGCCGCTTCAGCTCCTTGACGTGCTGGATCACCTCCGCGAGCAGCGACGCCTTGTCCGTCTGCACCCACACACACACCGCACCAACATGTAAGCGCGCGCATTGTCGATCAATGAGTAAATCACAAGGAAGAAAACGCACGGCGGCGAGAGCTCGATCAGCCAAGCAGCAGTAGTTAAATTAGTTAAACTGCTGTGTCTACCGCGTGCTAATGGGGGTGGGCGAATGGGGGGAATGATGAGATGGAACGGATGGGGGGGAGTACGCATGCAGGGTGCAAAAGGGCTTAGGGGGCCGGGGCGCGGTGCGTGCCGTGGCATGCATGCCTCCTCTCCTCTCCTCTCCGATCCAAGCGTGGGACTCACACTACTCTCGATCTCTGCCAACTAGGAGCACAAACACCGCGTAATCAATTGCAAAACGCTAGTGCGTGCATGGCCTCGCAGCTAGCTTAGCTAGCATGCATGCTGTTGATGGTGCTCGCACGCACGCGCGCTTCCACAAGCGAGCCGTGTTCGTCCTTTTGGTGTTAAGTGGGGCATCTAACCATCACCACTCCCCATTGTTTATACTTCTTCCCTTGTCACGCCAACATGCGGTCGTCAAATCTGCCGTCCGCCATCTCGCAGAGTACTACTACTAGGTTATTGGCGAATCTGGAACAAATAATCCTATGTACAGTGCACTCACTAGGCACTTGGAAATCCATAACGACCTTTCAGCCTACATATAGATCTAACAGAATTTTCTTTTCAGGTAAAGAACAGTAGTAGAAAAGTAAAAGTTTCATAGATGCAAAAAGGGAGGAAGAGTGTACTCCTATATATTGTTTCCCTCGATAACGATAATGTAACGGTTTAATTAGCACAAGGCAGGCAGGGAATTAGGCTGAGTGGCATAGGATAACGTGAGTGGTTTTGGAGTAGGGGCTCGCAGAGAATATCTGGGTTGGGATTCTTGGAAGTAGGGGGAGGTAGCAAAGCAGGATCTCTCGAGATGGTCGGCTTTCTTTTTATCTTTGCCGCTGCTGCTGCCTGCTTCTACTACTACTAGCTCTCATCTGTGTCTGACACAAGCTCTCGTGTTTGTCTCTCCTCGGAGAGGCCAGCATGAACTCCTGCGCGCGTCGCAAGCTTTTCGTGTCCTTCCTGGTCTCTCTTTTGCGCGTCAACTAGGCGGCTCCCCTCCCTTCGCTTGTCTCCTAGCTCCCCCCTATTTACTAGCAGCGCTATCGGATGACGAGCCAGTGCCAGCCATGGGGTTCGCGCGTGTTTTGGTTGGGTCATGTAGTTGCACCGTGGGGATATGCATTGCATGAATGAATTTATGACGGGGATATGGACTGTACTACTACTACCTTGGTTGTGTTGGGGAGGAGGCTGCGGAGGCGGGCGAGGTGCGCGTTGATCCGCTCGCGGCGGCGGCGCTCGGCCTCGCTGTGGCTCTTGGACGCGGCCAGCGCCTTGGCGTCCATGATCTCCTGCGCGGTCATCCGGCCGAGGTCGCCGAACGGCGACGGAGCGAAGGGCGGCGGCATCATCATGCCGGCGACGTGGGAGCCGTGGTGACCCATGTAGAGCCCGCCGAGGCCGAGCGGGTCGGACGACGACGACGCGCCGCCGGAGTGGTCGTACGCGTACTGGAGCGCCCGCCGCGCGTAGAAGTCGGCGAAGAACGGGGGTGGCGGCGGGGGCTGAGGGGGCAGGGGCGGCAGCAGCGGGAAGAACGGGCTCTGCTGGCCGCCGCCGCCGCCTAGGTTGTGGTGGTGGTGGATTGCACCGTGGACAGGCTGCGCCGGCGGTGGCCAGCACATGATCGGCGGCGGCCCCATGGTGGCGCTCACGCTCCCGACGCTACTGGTCGCCTCGAACACCATGCCGGCAGCATCTTGGCACACTCCACCACCGTCTCCCCCCACCTCTTGCTCCACCACGCCGCTCGTCGGGCCACCGCAAGCCTGCTCGATCACCTCCTCCTCCTCCTCGTCGACGAGCACCCCGGCTTCTTGATGGTGGTGGTGGTGGCGGTGGTCTCCATGAGCACCCATCTATCAAATCGATCTGGAAGAACGCAACACAAACCGAGCCGCGGGGATCGATCGATCGATTGAACGCTGGACGGGCAGCGTAGTACCCGGGGCTTGCGTGTGGGAGGGAGATGGATGCTTCGGCAGGGTGTGTCTAGGGCTACCTTTTGTATAGGGTGTGGCATGTGGCAGCATGATGCGCCTTTCGGCCTTTTTGTCTTTCGCTTATGATCTCGCCGGGCGCTCGCAAGAATTATGGCGGCCTCCCCCCTGATTATACATATACACCAAAAGGCCTCGCCTTTTCTCGCTTCATTCGCCCCCGGCCGGCGGGGGTACTACCTCTAGACCTGGCACTGACCGGCCCTGACCTGATGGTAGCTACTGGTGTTACTTGGCTGCCACGCCTTTCGATGGCTTTGTGGGGGCAAAGGCTAGTAGGGTAATATAATTACTAGGCTGGAGTAATGGAGACAGGAGGGGAAAGGGAGTGTGGAAATGGAGCTGGTCGATCAGGCCTGGAAGATGGCAAAAGGGCGCTAGCTGGGAAAGAGAGACCGAGAGTCGAGGGAAAAGGCAAAAGATTTTGCATGGAAGGAGAGAGAGGACGAGAGAGTAGAAGAGTCCTACGTACAGTGCAGCGGTTAGTAGTGCTTGTGTGTGGATGGACGCCTGAATGGCTCGGTCAAGGCCCATGTTCTGCAGCACCCCGCGCTCCGCTTTACCAATCCACGCCTCCCCGAGAGACACAATCATTTTGTCTTGGAATACACTCCTCGCCTGTGGCTGTGGTGTGGTGCATGCAGCTAGCCAGCGTACGCTTAACATATTGGTTTTTACCAGAGCAGCTGCGTGGGCGCAGGATTATGTATTGAGCGAGAAAAACAAAACAGGATCCACGCAAACAGCGGGCTAATGGCAGCACTCATGCCCCATCGATCGACAACGGCATGGTTATCGAGTTCAAATCTTAGCCCATGATTAAGCTAGCTATAGAACTAGTAGCTCCGTCCAGGCAAACGAAAACGGAATGCGATCCCCGGCCACGTCCCCGGCCCGGCCGGCCGGCGCCAATCGCCATGATGCCCGCCAGGCCCCCGCCCGCGACGACACGATCATGCCGCCGGGCTGGCCTGTGTCAATTTTAGCGCGGGACGAGGCGCAAGGGGACAAGTAGCAGCTTCCTACAGTTTCCCACCTCCCCTGATACCGCATCGATCCCTCTCGCCTTCTCCCTCGTACACCGCGCAGGCGCTCGCTTCGCCGGCCGCGCTTGCGTGCTGCGTGTTCGGCACCGTGCAGTGCCCAACTTGGCGCAGGCGGGCGGGCGTAATCTCGTATCTCGTACCGTACGCTCGCGCGCGCGCGCGCGTCAGGCCGACGACCAGGCACAGGCGCGCGACGAGTGGCATGCGCGCAGCCCGGCTGGGCGGGCGCTGCATGCATGAGCTCATGGCCATGGACCATGTTGTGTGCATGCGTCATGCAACGTGATCCATCGCGATCGATCGAGTGGTGGTTCGAGCTAGCGCGCTCCTCGCTAGCTAGCAGTTTTGTTCAGAGCTTGGCTGGGAAATGCACGCATGCATGGGGGAGAGAGAGAGAGAGTTGGCCCGAGATGGATCGAGGCAAAACGACGGGAGAGGGCTCATCATGGCGTGGATCCGCCGCATTCACTCCTCCCTAGCTAGCTCGTTGTCTCTCGCTTCTGTGTTCTTCGTTGGCTAGCTACTCCAGTATAGGACTGAAAACGGGGCGGGTATTTCCCGACCGCCCGCCCGGCCACATTATTTCGGGTCAAATTCGGGTCGGGAATTCGGGTACCCGGACCCTTACACGGATACAGGGTTCGAATACGGGTAATTTTTTGCGGATATGAGATCGGGTTCGGGAGAGCGGTATCCGACGGATACGGATTATCCGGGAAATTATGCGGGTATTACCCGATAATCTATCCGTATATTACCCGGATAGATGGACAGCAGCCCAACAGGCAAGCGCCCAACAGGCCAACACAACAGGCAACAGCCAGCCCACATCCAAAAGGCCCACCAAACAAAGTGCCAAGCACAAACCCTAGCCTTCACTTCACAGTTCAGATCAGTACAGCATTGAGTCTGAAGCTATCAAGCTATGAATGCCTACTTTTGCTACTACTTTGGTATAGTTTTGCTGATAGGCATTACGATGCCATAAGCCCCTAATATATTCATAATAGACATATAGGAAATGGCTGAATGGCTATTGTCTATGTGGTATATTTGGTTGTTGCTTTGACTTGATATCTGAATAAATATTCGTAACCGATATAGTTCGTATCCGTCTTGGTACGTATTCGTTCCGTATTTATGCCCAATATTATCCGTACTTCTATTCGTATCCGATAATATCCGTGCCCGACCCGATTCCGATTATAAAATATGGGTTAGGATATGAGAAGGATGAGATCCGACCGAACCCGACCCGATTTCACCCCTACTCCAGTATATAGAGAGTACTGGTACTACTGCGTTACTGTGCTGTGCCTGTATTTATGTTTCTCGGGTGTATCCTCACGGAAATGATCCACCTGTAGGGACGGCCCACTGCGTAGTTCCTTTTGCCGCCTCTGGGCTTCCTTTGCGGAAATTGGAAGAGCAATGTGCGTGAACTGTGAAGGCTAAAATGAAGTTCCAGATCTCCGGATCGGTCTCCACAGCTCCTTTTTGCAGGTTTTATTCTCTAAAAAAAGTTCGTTTTGCAGAGGGTATATATATATATATTCCAGTTAGTAGGGGGCTCAAAAGTGAAGAGGATAGTTTCTTGATAGAATCAGTGGCCAGCCTGAATTAATTTTGAGCGGCCTAGTTTGGATAGTTCTGCATACCTTTATTTTAGATAGAGTTCAAGAGAGAAGCTTCGTCAGTTGGATTGGGCGTTCTGAGGTCAGGAGTATGAGGTAACTGCCCCTCTGATCCATGATGGGCTATATAGCCGGTAAGCTGTATCTCATCGGCCTAGTATGTCTTTTTTTTATATATAATGGAATAGAGCATCCCGGCCTTTGCTCAAAGAGCTACAGTCAATTATTACAATCTCACACTCAAAATGAGTGAAGTTCAAAGAAACTTAAAAGATGAAACCAACCATCAATAAGAAACAACCTAAAGACTGCCAACCCAAGATAAAGAGTACATAATTATTGAATTCTATTTGTGAACCTCCATCCAAAATTGACAAAAAGTTACATAACCGTTGTCTCAAGAATACGGCATGCAGCCTTTAAAAGCTCACTATCTTCCTCACACTTTTGTAGTTGTGCCCAAAACCGGAGCCAATGTGTTGTCCTGAAAACTACTTGCATATATGAAATAGATGGTGACTTGTCAAAAATGACATCATTCCTACTCAACCATAGAGCCTAACATATAGCAGATGCTCCTATGAGAACAAGTTTTCTTCTTTTTTTTTCCACCCCCAGAAGCCAATTATCAAAAATATGAGATATACCATGAGGAAGGTAAAGACCAAAAGAAAATTGAACTGCTCTCCATAAAAACTTTGCATAATGACACTCTACAAAAAGATGTTGAGTAGTTTCATTTTTCATACAGAAACAACGTCTCAAGCTACCATTCCAATTCCTCCTTGCCAAATTATCTTTAGTTAATACAACCCCTTTAAGCAAGTACCACATAAAGATCTTCATCTTAAGAGGCATCCTAAGTTTCCAAATAATCTTGTTTCTCTCAATATAATTATTGTTTATTAAGGCTAAATACATTGTCCGAACAGTAAATTGATCATTTTGATGATAATTCCATCTAAAACGATCATTCAGTTGACTCAACTGAATATGCACAATAGAAGCACACAAGTTATGCCAATTTGCTAAATTCTGACCAACCAAAGCTCTCCTAAAAAAAACATTCAGCGGAACAGATCTCATAACATTAGCAATTGAAGAATTCTTCCTTCGAACAATGGCATATAGAGACGGATACTTATCTTTAAAAGCCACGTTACATATCCATTTATCTTCCCAAAATCTAGTTTGTTCCCCATTATTCACAATCCAGGAACCCATATTCAAGAAAGTATTTTTAACTTTCATGAGACCTGACCAGAAATGAGAATCCCCTGGTTTCCTATCAACTTGAGTTATAGAATGGTTAGAGAGATACTTCCTTTTCAATAAGTCCTGCCAAACCCCTTGCTCATTTATTAACTTGAACAACCATTTACTCAAAAGATATTTATTTTGGATCTCCAAATTATGAACACCTAAACCCCCTTGGTCTTTGGGTTGACAAATTATATCCCATCTTGTTAGTCTATATTTTTTCTTATGATCATCACCTTGCCAAAAGAAACGTGATCTATAATAATCAATTTTTTGAAGAACTCCCTTTGGAATCTCAAAAAAAAGATATCATTATTTTCCGTTGGAATAAATACATTATTTTTCCTCCCTCATCTCTAGCCCTTGATCGAATCGCATTCCTTAACCGCAAATCCGGTGAAAATTAACTCCTTCGATGGTTTTAGAGAAGTGGTTTTGCTGACGTGCTATGTTAACTTGGTCCAAGTATGCTGACATAGCAACTCAATCGTCAAATGAATTAAAAATAGAAATGGATTCCACATATAATTAAGTGACAAGGATAAAAACATAAAAACAATGGAGCCTACTTGTCAGCCCCACTTCTCCTTCTCTTCTTCTTCTTCCTCTCGCAGTCAAAGCTTGCACGCGCGGCGATGGCGGCTACGGAGGCAAGCGGTGTGGCTAGGGTGGGAGGGAGTTGGGATAAGGAGTGTGGATGGGCGTTAGTGAACGGTGGCGGTGGTGACAATTTCTCCTCCCCTCCCTCTCCCTACTCTCTCTCTCTCTATCTCTCTCTCCCAGCGGACAGAAAGACATCGATGGTGATGGGGGACGGTGGGTTGGCGAGGGCCGCGTTGTGCCCACGACAGAGCCCCGCCACATCGCCCATAAATCTCAGTTGCGTTGCCCGGATCTAAGGAGCAGTGGAGTTGCAACAGTCGATTCCTCCTAACGACGCAACGACAAACACAATGACTGCAACGGAGACATCGTAATCCCCGAAGATAGGCCAATGGGAGGGGATCCGGTGACGAGGAGCGCACGAAGTGGGTGTTGTTGCCTAGTAGGAGGGGATCCGGTGGTTGCCACTCTATTAGTTTCACACCCTATGGAGGCTGGCTCAATAAGAACTAGTTGTGGTAGGAGGTGCGCATCCAAGCATTGAAACCGCCACATCAGCGTGCGGCAGCCTGGTAGAGCTCATTATCGCTGGGATGGGAGGGGGAACAAGAGGTTGGGGATGGGAGTGGAGGGGGAGGGGAGGAGAGGACCGCGGATGACCATGTCATCGTCAACCGTTGTCGCACTCACCGATAGTCGCTCGAGTTCATCCTTCGGCCGTCTCTGCCATTGTTGCCCCCTTCTCGTCGACCGCTGCCTTCCCATGGATGAGCTGGCGAGCTTGTCAACCGCCACTGTCGGAGAGAAGGAGGAAAAGAGACTGACATATGGGTCCATTATTTTCTAATTTTTTTTCACTAACATGTGGGTCCCATTAAATTTTTTTATTTTTATTTTCGTGGCACAGGTTCCATTTAGTTTTTTATTTTTATTTTAGCGCCACATCATTGTCACATAAGACGAAGACCAAGTCAGCATGCCATATGGATGCCACGTAGGACAAAAACACTAGCCGAACCGCCGAGGGACTCGATTTGCACCGGTTTTCAAAGATGGAGGATGCGTTATATCCAGTATTGCGATTTGAGAGACATGATTCCATTAAGGGCAGAAGTT